CACCCCTGAGCCTCTAGCCTGTACCCCAGTTCTGTATGCATAAATAAATAAATCTTAAAAAAAAATAAAAAAAAAAAAGTGCAGATGTGTAAAATGACTGGAGAATATTACATGAAAGAAACCATAAGACCCAAGATTTCCTAAGATGTTCACATACAAACACCAGCATCCCTGGATCTTAGGAACAAAGTAGTGTCCCTTTTGATGAGAAAGCTTTGAGCATTCAGATGTATCACAAAAAAAGCAAAAGAAAGTATGTCTCAGAAGTACAAAATACAAAGAAAGTAAATTAATATTCACTGGAAATCAGTAAAGGCAACCTAAGAGAAATACAACTTGAACAGAACCGTAGGGCAATAGAAAAGTCAGTTGTAAAGAAATTGAAGATACAGGTGAAGAAATAATTGCCAAAGACTCTAGAGGAAAGAGAAGGACATTTTTTCCAATTAGAGGATTAAAAGCACTATTCACTTTCGAAGTAAAGGGAGAAAGGATATCTTACTAAAACAAAGAGGAGAGAATGAAGATACAGAAATTCTCAAATAGTGAAACACTGAAAGAATTCATATCCAAAAGTCTTTGCTTAGTTACTGTGAGAACACAGTTGTACAGTACACAAAGAATTTCCAAGCTGAATGGGAAGCAAGGAAATTGGGCTAATAGACTGGACAGGGGTGGGGATGGAGTACAAGAGTTCAACATCTTCAATAAAGAGGGAAAAAGTTGTAATTTAAATGATAAATTATAAGAGAGATAGCTTAGTGTAGGGCTGTTGAAGTGAAATAAAGAGAATGCCAGATTGAAGATAAACTGTAAGGCTAACGCTTTGGATGGATCAACAATCTAGATGCCATAGCTACAAACAACAATGGCTAAAGATATAAAACAGAAAAAAAAGTTAAGCTAGAAGTCAAGGTCCTTAAAGACCACTGGGGATATTCCTGAGATCAGTATTTGGCAAAGAAAAAGACAGGGCTAAGATAACATCTAGATAGCAAAGGAAAAACTACTTTAAAGTTAGTCAAATAACTGTCTGAAAAAGAATGGGGTAGACAAATGCTGACGCCCCATCTTGGTCCCTAAGCTGCAGGAAAGGAAAAGATGAGTAATTCCATGTAAAAGGGTTGCCAGTTTTATATGACATATGGGCAAAATCATGTTTTAGTGAAGGTTATTAAAAAAATGTTGAGATTGCAAAAACTGTACTGGGTAATAGAAGAGGGGCTTCAGAAGCTCTAGCAAACACTGTTAAAAGCAGAATTTTAAAAGGTTGGTGGTGGATAGAAATCATAAAGGATGGATAAGTTAGAGAATGAATGCTCCCCTCAGCAGTGTATTTCAGTAGCTCTACCTTTTCTACTTCCCACTCTGTCTCTGGTGAATTATCTCATTACCCTGCACTTCTGGCCTACACCCCACGTTGTCCATGAATAATTAACAAATCTTAAAAAAAAGAAAACTAAAAAACTTTAATGAAAGAAATTAAAAATGACTTAAGTGGAGAGATTTGCTATACACATAGACTGGGCAGGATATTGATATAACATCTCCTCAAATAGAGCTACAAATTGCAATGCAATCCCAATCAAAATTCTACCAAGATTTTTTGCAAAAGATGACCACCTGATTTTTTAAATTTTATGTAGAAAGACAAAGGACCTAAACAAGTGCCTGAAAGACACAGAAGCACCTAAACAGAAAAACAGAAACAACATAATCTTAACCAAGGAGTACCAGGTAGAAGGCTTTCACTATCTGAATCAAACAATATAAAGGTGCAGCTGCAGACTAACAGCAGTGTCAAGACATACATTTAGATCACTGAAATGGAAGAGTCCAGAGATGCACACACACCGATATGATTAACTGATCTTCAAAAAAAATCAATAATCAACAGGGGGAAAGATGTCTTCAACAAATGGTATTGGATCAACTGGATACCTATAAGGAAGTAAAGATGAATGGCTATACTATTACTTCACAGCATATAAAAAATAAATTGAATCATAAAATCTAAACAAAGATTAAAAATTTAAATCTTCTAGAAAATAGCAAAAGTATTTGTGACACAGTATTAGGCAAAGATTAAACACAAAAAATAGAAACTAGAAAAGAAAATTTAATAAAACTGATTTCCTCAAAATGGAAAACTTCCTTCCAATAAACATACACACAAAAAGAATCAAGAAAAGTTCAAGTATGAAATTGTATTGGTAACACGTATGTGACAAAGGGTTTGTATGCAAACACAAAGAGTTATTACAATTCAATTAGAAAGTAACTGCCCAGTTTTAACAATGGGCATATTACTTGAACAGATTCTTCACAAGAGTGAAATGGCCTATGAATCCAAGGAAAGATGCTAACCACACTAACTACACAGGAAAATGAAATTAAGAACACAGTGACTTATTACTACACATCTATTAAAATCACTAAGTTAATAATACTACCAAAAACAAGTGTCACAGTGATTTATTACTACACATCTACTGGAATCACTAAGTTAATAATACTACCAAAAACAAGTGTCACTGACAAGTGTTATGAAAACAGATGGTACTCTCATATGTTGCTACTGGAAATGAAAAAAAATAGTACCACCACTTTGGAAAGCAAGATTGCTACAACTTATAAAATCAAACTTACATATAAATACATGACTCAACAATCTCATTTCTACATATTTAACCAAGAGAAATAAAAACATGTACAAGACTTATACATGAATGTTTTAGCAGCATTATTCGTAATATCCCAAACTAAAAACCTAGCTGTCCACCAGAAGAATGGAGAAACAAATCATATTAAACAACAATTAAAAGGAATATACTAATATATGTAACAACATGAGTAAATCAGGGTGCTTAAGACTAGAATTTAAGGGGAGTTCAAGAACAAATACAAGGAAACTTTTAGGGTGCTGGAACTTTGTTATGGTGAGTATACAACTGTATAAAATTATAAAAATTTATCATAAATGATGTATTCAACATATTAAACACCAAAGAGACTAAAAATTTATGGCAAAAAGCACAAAAAGATGATAAAAGGAGAAATTAATAAGGTGGCAAATAAATGAAAATGACTCAGTAAATGAAAATTCTAGTTGAAAGACAAGGTAAGAAATGCCCAGAAAAACACTAACTCAAAAAGACATAGGCACCCCCTATGTTGACTGCAGCATTTTTTATAAGTCAGATATGAAAAAATATCTACTTATGAATGAATGGAGAAGATACACACACATGCACACTCAACTACTATTCAGGTGTAAAGATCATTGCTATTTGTGACTTGTGCTAAGTAAGACAGAGTAAGAAATCTGTATCATTTCACTCATATGGAATATAAAGAAACAGTTCAAAACAAACCATTAGCTACAAAGGACAGGTTGATGGTTACTGAAAAAGAAGAGGTTTGGAGTAAGTGAAAAAGATATAGGATGTGATAGTATGGAGTGGATAAAAACTCGTTTTGGTGATGATCATGATATAATACATATAGAGAAGATGAAGAATGAAACTGTACACATGAAACAAATATCATAAGCCAATGTTATGTCAAATGAAATTA